CTTTAGAGGGCCCATCCTATAGAGGGTCCTCCTCTCAGTCCAGGAAGCTGATGTTTGCAACCCCGTGGATAAGTTATTTGAAATCCATCAGGTCAATTCCAATCTACCACTTCCAGTGCAACCCATGGCGAGAATAAAGACACTGAAGCACGTCTATAGATACGGGGAGCCCAGGGGTCCTAAGTCCAGCCATGGTGATGGCTATCCAGCACAAAGGCCTTGACTGAGGGCCAAACCCAGGTTTTATTCAGTTGTGAAGGAGGAGTGGCTTGAGGAGGAATGGCTGAAAATGGCCGGAAGTAGGTGAGAGGTGAGCACTGTGAGCTGGGCTAAGGAGGAGGCCTGCATTCACCTCTGCGGTATGAAGAGAGAAGGACATGCGGAGTGATCTGCATGACACAGTGGAGACAGTATCTGATGCTTTGGGGTCTGTGCTTCAGCTCTGGTGTGTAACATTTCAAGCCCCAGCAAGTCCTGGCCTCTATCTGGAGGTTCAATCCCAGCCTACAGTGTGGAGCACTGGCTCTTCACCCCATCTCGACCTGGCTCATATTGAAGAGAAGCTCATGAGGGTTACCAGGAAAACACGTTTGTCATCTTCAGCTGCTTCTACCAGCACCCCTGCTAGATACATGCACTACTTAAAGCCTGTTGAAGGGACAAGGAAAAGGACTAGCCAGCTCTGCTCGTATAAATAGTTGCTCCTCTTTCAAGGAGAGCTTGCTCAGGTGGTCCTCCACATTGCCAAGTTTTAGAAAGTGCTCAAGTTGGAGAACTAGTGCTCTGAGGACGTGTTCCTTCTAGAAGATGTTTTCTTGCAGGTACAGCTGTGGTCTCTATCTTTCCCTTAGTTTGAAACACCGATGATCATTGCCAGTATTAGCTTAACTGCGCCCCAAAATTCAGACACTTGCTGATTGAACAGAGTGCTCTGAAAGGAACCTGGCTATTAGGGATTTTCAAAAGTATAGAAGGATATCTCAAGAGGGTGACAGTTCTACTACCAAAGAATCCAAATGGGAAGTTAAAAAGATAACACATGCTCTATGTAAAATGCAGTTGGTGTCCTCCATTTCTTAATGAGCTTGGGACTGAAACAAGGGCTTTACCACAAATTTCAAGTTTCTAAATCCTATATTTGAGGCAGCTATGAGCTCAAGAAGCATCCAGGCAAGGATCCATCTCGGCACTCTGTCCTCATCTCAGCGCGTTCCTCTAGTGACCCAGAACAGAAAAAATACAACTTTATTTTCACAGTTACACCATCGCCATAGGAACAGGAATTGTGGGAGCTAATTTGGAAGTGCTAACCTTAAGTTAGAGCTTTAAACATTTTAAAAATTCTTACTAAATGCATACAAATTACATCACAGTCCTACGTGTGTATAGAAGTCCCAGAATTTAGTGGCGTTACAAACACAAGTGCGGACTTTTTATTCTCTAAATCATATTTTATATTTTTAATCTTATTTACTCTCTCTATTTCTGGATATGCTGAAAGAGTTTGCAGGTGAAGTAGGGATATCACTCTGATTTGTTCTGCTCGTGCTTGAGGGTGCAAGTGTCACGTTAACTTGAGAGCCAGCTTAGAGCCTGGGATGCTTCCGTGTGAAATCTTGCTGTAGATTTTCCATGTTATAGAGCTTGCGGGTGAGGCTCCCAGAGTTGACAGTAATGAGCACTCGAGGTCTATGGATGGTCTGACTCAGACCATGTCTTCTGGAAGGAAAGCTGAGCAAGGCAATGAGGAAAAAAAAAACCAGTATACGGTTGCTAAGATTTTTCTCTTCTGTTGTTTCCAGAGCCAAACTTCGTGTCCTCATACGACATCGGAAACTTCACCTACTTCTTTTTCCGAGAAAATGCTGTGGAGCACGACTGCGGGAAGACAGTTTTCTCCAGGGCCGCACGGGTTTGCAAGAACGACATCGGGGGACGCTTCCTGCTGGAGGACACGTGGACCACCTTCATGAAGGCGCGCCTGAACTGCTCCCGGCCAGGGGAGGTCCCCTTCTACTACAACGAGCTTCAGAGCACCTTCTTCTTGCCTGAGCTGGATTTGATCTACGGCATTTTCACCACCAATGTGTACGTAGCTTCAAATAATGTCTTTCTCTTCGCCTTCACTCACTTTCAATAGTTCTTTTGTTCTTTGACCTCTGAAGGTTTCAGGTTGCTTTAAAGAAAATCTTTCTTATTTTACTGGGCTTACAGCCAAGGAATAACAAAAAGAGCATTTTTCACTATGAATTAAATAATAGGCAAAGATGTGTGCT